GGTGATGAACATAACGAACATGATGAGGAACAAATGATAAACGAGAATGCTACAAATGATGATGACAATGATAACGAACATGATGATGACAATGATGATAAACATAATCATGCACATGATAACAAAAATGACGATGGACATGATGATGATCAACATGATTGTACAAATGCTGAATCGTGATAAAAAAAAAAAACATGATACACATGATGATGCACATGATGATGAAGAGGATGATGAAAATGATGATGAAATTGATGATGAAAATGATGACGAACATGATGATAGAAAAAGACATGCTGATGTACATGATGATGAACATGATGATGAACATGATGATAAAAATGATGAATGATGATACACATGATGTTAAACACGATGAACGATGATGGAAATGATAATGACAATGATGATAAGCATGATGATGACCATGATGATAAAAATGATTAATGATGATGAACATGATGACGAACACGATGATGAAAACGATAATGGCCATGATGATGAAAAGGATGATAATAAGCATGATGAATGATGATGAAAATGATCATACAAATGATGAATGATGATGAACACTATGAGAAGATGATGATGAAAAATATGATGAAAAAGATGATTTCGATGATGATGAACATATTTTTTGCAATTAATTAGACAAATTAGCTGAACAATCATTCATTTGTTCATTTTTTCCAATTGTTCCAATTAACTAGAAACATTACCTGAACTATCAGTCAATATGTTCCATTTTTTCCTATTTTTCCTATTTTTTCTAATTGTTTCCCGGTCTCCGGGATGTTGGGACCTATTTTTTCTAATTTTTCTAATTGTTCTATTTTTTCTAGTTAATTAGAAAAATTAGCTGAAAAGTCAGGCATTTGTTCTATTTGTTCTAATTAATTAGAAAAATTAGCTGAACCATCAGTCATTTTTCTAATTTTTCTAACTAATTAGAAAAACTAGCTGAAAAATCAGATTTTTTTCAATTTTCCAATTTGTTCTAATTGTCCCCCGGTCTCCGGGATGTTGGGACCTATTTTTTCTAATTGTTCTATTTGTTCTAATTTTTACAATTTTTCTAATTAAGTAGAAAAATCAGCTGAACCATCAGTCATGTTTTTCTATTTTTTCTAATTAATTAGAAAAATTAGCTGAACCATCAGTCATTTTTTAATTGTTCTAACTAATTAAAAAAAATAGTTAGAAGAAAAATCAGCATTGTTTTTCAATTTTCCAATTTGTTCTAATTGTCCCCCGGTCTCCGGGATGTTGGGACCTATTTTTTTCTAATTGTTCTATTTGTTCTATTTTTTACATTGTTTCTAATTAATTAGAAAACTTAGCTGAACCATCAGTCATTCTTTCTGATTTTTCTAATTTGTCTAATTAATTAGAAAAATTAGCTGAAAAAAAAGACATTGTTTCTATTTGTTTTAATTTGTCTAATCATTTTTTTTTTAAAAAAAAAAAGAAAGCTGAAACATCAGTCATGTTTTTCTAATTTTCATAATTTTTCTAATTACTTAGAAAAGTTAGCTGAAAAATCAGTCATTTGTGTCTAATGTTTCTATTTTTCTAATTAATTAGAACAATTAGCTGAAAGATCAATATTTTATTTTTTTCTAATTAATTGGAAAAAATAGAAAATTAGAAAAAAAAAAAATAGGTTCGAGACCGGGGGGCAATTACTATTTTTTCTATTTGTTTCTTCTTGTCGCCCGGACTCCGGGATGGTGGGACCTATTTTTTTCTAACTTTCATATTTTTCATTTTTTCCTATTGTTTTTTATATTTTTCCTATTTAATTAGAAAAATTAGCTGAAAAATCAGTCATTTCTTTCTAAGTTTCCTATTTTTTCGAATTAAATAGAAAAATTAGCTGAAAAATCAGTCATTTTTCTAATCGTTAAAACATAGAAAAAATAGAAAAATAGAAGAAGAAAAAAAGGTCCCAACATCCCGGAGACCGAGGGACAAGAAGAAAAAATAGAAAAATTAGTAATTGTCCCCCGGTCTCCGGAATGTTGGGACCTATTTTTTCTAATTGTCCTATGTTTTCTGATTAATTAGAAAAATTAGAAAAAATAGAAAAAATAGAAAAAACATGACTGATTGTTCAGCTATTTTTTTCTAATTAAATAGGAAAAAAGAAAAATTAGAAAAAAATGACTGATTGTTCAGCTAAGTTTTCTAATTAGTTAGAAAAATTAGGAAAATTAGAAAAAACATGATTGATGTTTCAGCTAATTTTTCTAATTATATTGAAAAAATATGAAAATTAGAAAAAAATGACTGACTTTTCAGCTATGTTTTTCTAATTAAATAGAGAAAATAGAAAAATATAAAAATTGGAAAAAATAGAAACAGAATAGGTCCCAACATCCCGGAGACCGGGGGACAATTAGAAAAAAAAGGAAAATTGAAAAAATGACTGATGGTTCAGCTAATTTTTCTAATTAATTAGAAAATTTAGAAAATTAGAAAAAAATGACTGATGGTTCAGCTATTTTTTCTAATTAATTAGAAAAAATTAAAAAATTAGAAAAAGTACAAAAACATATGAAACAAATAGGCCCTAACATTCCGGAGACCGGGCGACAATTAGACAAATTGGAAAAAACACAATGACTGAAATTTCAGCTAAGTTTTCTAGTTAATTGGAAAAAATGGAAAACATGACTGATTTTTCAGCTAATTATCATCAACATGTTCATCAACATATTCGTTTTACCATCATACGTATCATCATTTTCATCATCATTTCTGCGCGCAACACGTTGTGACACATTTGGTATAATCTTCCCTCATACTGGGGGGGGTGTGTCAACATGACATACGTGCGGGAATGCAAGTCCTTCCAGTCCAGCATGCTTTCGGAAGGGCAGGGAGGCAACTGGAGGAAAGCTCGCGGCTGTCTGCTAACATTTACACGTTCCCAGTTGGTACTCTTTGCAAGGGACACCACCCAAGTCCTGACTGGGACACACCTGCAAGTTTTCTCCCGCAGTGCGTGCTGTTGAAAAATACATGTAGGGCCTCTCAAGTACAACCCAAGTGTGACTGATCCAGTGGTTCCCTTCTATTTTTCCTCAAGTGGAAAACATGCCCCATGAGGTGATTGCGTCATGGTTCGAACCACGTGCACTGGAAACTCAATGAATGAGACCTGTGCCGAACACGCAGTCAAGTGCAAAAACACATGTACGCAACCAGGGGATGTGTAGCCACCTTGATTTGCTGCACGATGCTGCATACATCTTGGCGCGCCATACTTTTGATTTCTTCCTTTGAGGTGGCATTTGTCCCTCACTGTATATGGTTGCTGTACAGTAAGTTAACCAAACCCACACTCCACCGAGTCCCCCCCCTGAACCCGCCCCAAACCCCTCGCCTGCTCCCACAAGACCCAGGTGTCTTTTAAAGGCATCGGGTCCTGCAACAAAGCCCACACTGCCAGCAGCATGCTTGTCTGGCAGCAGGCCATGCACACCCGCTCCAGTAGCGCTTTCTGTGTTTCGCTGTCTTCCTGGCAAACAATAATGAGGCACCAAACGTGGGTAGGTGAGCAAGAAACGTCGGAGGTCACAGCAATCATGCATCAGAGGCTGTTCATGTTGCAGTCTGCGTGGCGTTGCCTCAGGCAGGCCATTGATCTTGCCCCTTCCTCCCGCAGCCTGCACGAGGCACAAGGCAGAACGTGTGCCTTGTCAACTGGAATTTGTGTGAGTCCGGCCTCGTTGAAGCTAAGGTACTGCATCAGCGTGCCAATGCAGTATGAAGAATAACCTTAGGCTCTATGTGGCAATCCGCCCAGCAAGGCCTGGCTGAGGCAAGCACCAAGAATGACAAGGGAAGGCGCACAGGCCTATCAGGAGAGCGTGTCTTCACAAACAAGACATGCGTCAAAGGCAAGGGAATGCAACTTTGCATGAAAGCCGATGCCTTCCAGGAAAGCTGGGACAAGTGGAGAGCAGCTCCACAAATCCCTCTGAGCCGATGCGCAGCAGGGGCCGCAAAAACTGTTGCAGCTCTTGAAAGCCAAGCACAACCTCTGGCAATCGCATCTAGCCATCGCCTCAGCAAGGGTTGCGGAGAAAAACACCATCCGCACATTTTGTACTCGTCAACCCCTCCCTCCAATCGGGCTACCGTAGCCCAAATTGCCAAAGGTCAGTTGCTTCCAACGCTACGAGCAAGCTGCCTAGGATGCCAGCCAAGGCCATTATGCTCAGCTGGGTGCTACAATGCAAGTGCATCAGCCTTGGTTACGGCTGCTGTTTCCTTTTCTGCAGCACTCGACTTTCAGAACGTACAAGGGTCACACTTTGCAGCACGCGCTGAATCGCTGAACTGTTGTGTGCAGGAGCCTCTGGCTGAAGTCTAAGCAACTGCAACCCAAATGAAGTATGAAACCTGCTCCAGGCCCAGAAGCATCCCAAACATCAAAGGTGCCATTTGTAGCACCTCGCGGCTGCACAACCGTCCTAATGCTGCAATTTCTTTGCGGCCAAGGTGAGCAGAGCTCACTTGGAAGAGATGATTGGGACAGGAGGCACAGGCCTCTTATCAGTTGCACATGGCTTACTGTGACAGGCTTGACATTACATGGGCCGGTGCCCCCGTCGAATGCCCAACCTAGGCTTACCCACCCCAATTGTGACATTGGGCTGTCGTGCCGAAACAACTTGGGCTGGGAACAAAGGTCTGATTTCGTCTCCACGACTCCCAATGTGCCTACTTGAAGCCCTTAAGTTGGACTCATCTAGCTACAGCTAGACAAAGCTGTGCGCGGCAACGCCGCCGAAAAAGTTGCGACATGCACATGGCATGCTAGCAGAATTCAGCAGGGAAAACCCTGCCATGCTTAGCATGTGATATCTGCAACGCCGCTCACTGGCGAGGAGCTTGGTAGCTGTGCTCTCTGCTGATCTGTGGAGCAAAATTGCTGCAAGCACTGCTGGCTGGCACACCCGTGACTGGCACAACATATTTCTCAGCTGCCTCCAAAGTTCAGCGGAAGCACAGTACGCTCATCCAATTTGGTGACACAGTGCTGTAGCTCGAGCTGCAGGCACTTTAGATTGAGATCATCTGATTCTCTGAGCTAGCGGTGGTCTGAACCAAAGCTGCCAAAATGTGTCGCAAAGATAGTCCGGGCCACGAAAGCTAGGCCTCAACACGCGGCACACACGAATTGCTATGCCACATCCTGAGCTGCCAACTCACGGTACGGGAATCACCTGGCATGAAATTCGACAGCCCAGCTCAGCTCAGCCAAAAGACGCAGAACAAGAGCGCGCGCCTCTTGCCGCCCTTGCCCTTCCCTTTGCCACCTTTGCCCTTGCCATCTTTGCCTTTGCCATCTCTCCTGTCCCCTTTGCCTCTGCCTGCGCAAAGGAGACATGAAATCACACCAAGATCGTCTTCCGCGCCTTTGCCCTTTCCTTTTCCTCCACCTTTTCTGTGGCCATCCCGCTGGTGAACCTCACCGTCCGGAAGCAGAAGGCCATGGGTCTTACACAACTCAATCCCTTTGGTTCTTCGGTTTTGGGGGTAGACGCTGTGCCCGCTGCAAAACGCTCCAGCTCCGGTGGAATCACCGCACCACTCCGAACGAGAACGGTGGCGATTTCCTGCGCTTTCTTGTCCTGACATCTTCGGGTGCCCAACCGAAAAAAAAGCATAAGTGCTAGCTCCCAAGTGACCCAGGATGAGGCCAACATAATTGGCTCGTCTGCCGGCATCACTGCTCACACTTCTCATGGCTCGGTCTCCTCCTTGTGCAAAATGAGCAGCGAGAAGGCTAAGCCTTTCTGACCTCGGCGAATTTCCATTGAACACCTCGAGAAACCGTCCGCTTCCTCACGACTCGCAGCCGCGTACCCTTCTGGTTACACCATGACCTTTTCTTGGGGCTTCAGGCTGACCGCACATGCACTCGCAAGGCTTTGAAATCGGCTGAGGCTTCTGCCAGCCCGGCCTGTCCTGCCAATGCCTCGGAGCAAGCTGCAAGCAACTTCAGTCTCCCTCTACCCAGTTGGGCTCAAAGCGCAAGTGCGAGGTAATTACTTTAAATGCAAAGACGTACTGCACTTCTGCAGCACAATGCACTTGTCACGGCTTGAATGGATCAGTTGTGTCGTGCTACGGATGGGCGCGAGGCAGTCCAGCGTCCCGGAAGCTACACTCCGAGTTTTGCCACATGCCAACATTGAGGGATACAATTGAACCATGCGGCGATGGACATAGTCCTTGCCAGACCCTGCTGAGTCGTAGTTGATGACGCAAGTCACACCCTGGAAGCCAGGTGACATCCGGTGATCTGTGCACTGAAACGGCCATCTTGCTCATCCTGCCTTGATGTCAAGGCCCCGCGCCGCAACATCGGTTGCACAAAGGATGGGGCTCTGGCCACTCTTGAAAGCCTATGCAAAGCAGGATGCCAATGGCAAATCAGGTTGAGTCGCACATGCCTCCAGCGCAGCTGTTCGTTCATACTGCGCCATATCCCCATGGATCCGGACAGCCGGCACTCCATGATACTGCATCAGGTCATTTGCCAGAATCTCGCACGATCCTCAATGCCGAACGAGCGATAGCACGCGACAGCTGCAGCAGCACAAACTAACATATGCTACCAGTACCTGCTGCCAGGTGTCGCTTCATCTCGCAAAAAATGAGGCATCTATCACCACGCCCAAGGGAATGAAGAATCTGCAAAAGCTGTCTGGCCTGGCCAAAAGACCGCCTCTGCAAGCCAGCGCCACAACACGTCCCTCAGATTCATGCCTTGTCCTCCTCATCGGAGCAGAACATGACTCGCTGCTCAATATCTTTGTTTACCTAGGCACATGTAGTATCTGTTTGACCCGTGGCGCACCGTTCAATCCAACGGCCGAGCGGTCTCTTCAAACCAAGTTGCAGTCATTTCATGCACAGCGCCGGTTTGGACGTGGATTGGGCGAGTCAAGAATTCGCTGGCAAGAGATCGCACTTCGCGGGGCCACGTGGCCTGGGATCCAGGTCCCTTGCCCAATGCCTTTGAACTCCAACCTGAAAACCTGAACAGATCGGAATCGTCAAGTGGCAGTGAACAGCAAGGTCTGCCGCTGCTCGGGGACTTCCTTGATGACCTTAGGCAGCGCTCCGATGCCGTGACTTGGCGCGTTTCTGGGAAGAGTTCTGCCGAGGCGCCTGTCGGATCTGAGGCTCGAAGCCCATGTCCAGCATGCGGTCGGCCTCGTCCAGCACCAGGTAGGTCACGTGCGCCAGGCTCACGGAGCCGCTCTGCAGGAAGTCGTTGAGCCGCCCGGGGCAGGCCACCACCACCTGCGCCCCGCGCCGCAGCGCGCCCAGCTGCTGGCCGCGCGGCGCGCCGCCGTAGCAGCACGCGGTCCGGATCCCCGCGGCGCGGCCGAACTTCTCCGCCTCGGCCTCGATCTGGCACGCCAGCTCCCGGGTAGGAGCCAACACGCACAGCTGCGGCAGCCGGCTGCGGGTCTGGGTGATCCGCAAAAAGCCGGGCATGAGGAAGGCCAACGTCTTGCCACTGCCTGTCTTTGCAATCCCGATCAGGTCCTTGCCTGCGACCCCAATTGCCCAAGTATGCGCCTGAATTGGCGTTGGAGCGGTGAACCCTGCCTCCAGCAACTTGTGCACAAGCACGTCTGGAAAAAGCTCTGAGGCTTGCTGGAAACTGGTCACGGCTGGCGGAATTTGCTCACCGCTGGGCCCGAAGACATGAACCTGCGCGAACTCTTCGTCTGCCTCAGTCGACCACAAAGCCTCAGCTTCGTACTCGGGCACCGCTCCCTGGGAGTACTCCTGGCGCCAACCCAAGCCTTCAGCATGATCACCCTGGTAGTTGGCAAAGCCGTTGTTGTAAATCATTTGCATCGCATTCATGGCGTTCATGCCATTCATGCCGTTCATGCCGTTCATGCCGTTCATGCCATTCATGCCATTCATGCCATTCATGCCATTCATGGGATTCATGCCGTTCATGTTGTTCATGCCGTTCATGCCATATGCCCCTCCAGGCCCACCCGGGCCAGGACCAGCAGGGGCTGGGGCAACAGGACCACCAGGAGGGCTGGGGCCAGCTGCGCCACAGCCATTGAACCCGGGTTGCTTCATGGGATCGAATCCGAAATTAGCCATTCCGTTGTTGTAGTCGCCGCATCCGTTGAAGCCATTGTTCCTTGGGACTTGTCAGGAGAAGGAACTTAATACAGTATGCACACCACTTCGAAAGTTATTAATCGTGATGGCATTGCCTTCTGTGGCCTAAGGCGGAGCAAATCAAGGGGTTGGGGCAACACCCAGGCATGGCGATCGCCAACGTGGACTCTCATGTGACTAAAATTCAAGCTACATGGCATGGTAAGCCTCAACTGTGCCGCTTGGTTGCAGATATGTCTGCGGCGATTGGCCGTACATCTCCTCGTTGAAGGATCCTCCTGCGCAGCCCACCCATCCCAAAAAGGGAAATCTGTGGGGTCCATGGGCTCAGTGGCCTTTTTTGCCATGCCTCTTCCAAGGCTTATCCCACTCTTGGAATTTTAAGCATCCATGATCCAATCAAACAAGAAGCTAATCGCAATGACGCTTGTAAGTACGTGGTCACACGGCAATTCAGCCAAGGCCGTCCATAGGGAGGCATGGCGAAACCGTTGTTGCCTATACCTGCCCAAGCAAAGCTGGACACGAGTGGACGCTAGGGAAGAAAGCGAGCCAAATCATCTGCACAAAAGCATTGAGATGGAGCATTTTCCACTGCCTTTCTGCGCATCAGGCTGAACGAAGGTGGCAGCAGCCATACCTCAAAATGCACTCCCCCCCTTTTGGCTGCCTGGCCTATTTGCGTGTCACCTTCTACTGCCTTGCCGCGCCTCAACGCATCCACAGATCCAAGAGCCTCACGGGATCAAGTCAGCAAAAAATAGTTCTGAAGGCTCCACTTGCCTTCGCGGCAAGTTGAGTGGCACAATGCTGTTGAGCCAAAGAACCACGGAGTGGTTGCTGTATTGGGCCTTTGGTACAGATCTATTGTGAGCGATTTCGCTGGAATCTGCAGGTTGTGTTTGATGCAATTCCATTTTGGGCTTAGGGTTTAGGGATTTTGGGCTTCGGGTAGCTTACTTAGCAAGGTCTGCAGTCTGAAGCTGTGCGGAAGCGCGCAAAACCTTTTGCGCCGAACCCATTTCAGTTCAGTGCAACCCACAATTTAACTCGCCATGCATCACTTGGATCAGCATCCTCCCCAAAGCCAACGCCAGAGTCTCCAAATGGACTCTAAAATCTCTTCAAATTCCATACACACTTCATCCCACAGCTCCGAAGGGCCACAGCTCAAGCTGTGTGCGGGCATGCTCCGATACTGCACGGAGGGCAAACGGACAGGCAAGATTCTCGTCTCGGGCATCTTGTCCGGAACAATCACGCGCAACCAGTACGGAGCAGCAGGATGAGATGCAACCGGGTGCTTGAACACAACGCACTTCCCAGGTGCCGCCGCGCTTATGTCAACCATAAGCGCATCAGGGTACAGCTTTAGGCGAGAGCAATTCGCTGGCACCTTGATCCGAATCTTGCTTACATGTTTGCCACCCAGCAGGAAATCGTAGTGCCTCTCTTTCGGAGACGCTGGGACTCTCACCAGAAAATCTGCCTCTGGACCAAAAGAGATCGTTTCTCTATCCCCAGGTCTGCGCGACTTTTTTGGAGACAAATCCAGACGAATGTCCCAATCAGTGATGCGGAGCGGCTCATTCGCGTCGTGGTTCTGCGGCACGGTGACTTCCATCCTCTTCGGCAAAAGGCCCAAAACCCCGATCTCGTGCGGGCGCGGGCGCTGCTCGGACATGTCCGCTGTGGGGGTGGCGGTCCAGCCAGGCAGCTTCTCGACGCGCGGCGCGTGGTGAGCTGAGGCCTCGAAGCTGTGCATGCCCTCGCCTCCCCACGAGTCACTGGCCGGTGACTCCAGCCCGACCTCATACAGGCCCGGAGCAGGCAGAATCTCCTGAGATTTGCCCCACTCAGATCGGGCTTCTCACTCAAGTGCACATGACAAGGGTTTGTTGAGCAAGCGGCAGCCCAAATGCCTATAAACCGGTACCCTTCATTTTGCTGACACCCCCTCCGCCCAAAAAAACAGCACAAAAAAAAAACATGCATGTAGCCGGCTACCTCAGGCAGGCGACTCGCGAGGACCTCTGCTCCAGGAGCTTGTTCTGAACTTCTAAGTCCTCAGAGGGCAATGCTTTGTCCGTCTGCTCAGTCCGCTCAGCACTTTCGGTGTACTGAAGCAGCCGGGGGCCAAATGTGTTGAGGAGAATCATGCCGATCACAGAGTAGCACAGGACATAGAGCTGCGCAGCAGTGAAGATGTAGTCTGTCACCAAGCCATCATTGCTATACCCCGTGTAGAAAAAATGCTGCTTCTTTGGCACTCCGCCGAGTGCGCCCTGGATGGTTGCCCGCGGCAGGGTGCACAAAAAGCAAAAGATTGTGTCAGGCAATGCAGCCCACAGTGGCCTCTTGCGGCTATGAAGGGTCATCAGGATGCCTAAGGCAACGCCGATGAACCGCATCACCAAGCCAGTAACCATCACGGGAAGTAGGCGACCCAATTGTGGCAGGAAGTCTGGCGCAGTCTTGCTTCCAAGCATGCTAAATAGAACAATCTGGCCCAAAACCCAGACCTGGCCCAACGCATGCTCCAGGTTGTGCAAACTATCAGTATCGCAGACGCTTGCAAAAACGGTTCCCGTAATGATCACAAGAAGCTCGGGCTGAAACATAGACCCTGAAGCAAAGCCCATGGGCACAAGTTCATGCCCTGAGTCCCCTTTGCCAAGTGCAAAGCCTATCAACGCCGTAGCCAGTAGCATCAGCAAGCCTTCGGTAGTCGAACCGTTGAACATGCCAATCTTCGTGCGGTGCTTGATGCAAAAAGCACCGACACCTCCAAGAACTGCGCCCATCCCAGCCGTGGCCAAAAGACGAAAAGCATTTGCAAACAGGATGGTGCCGGCAGGTGCTGGGTCTGTGTGCGCAGGAGACGCAAAGCCAGTAAGGACTCCGAATGTAGTCAGAGCAAATGATGCCTCCAACGGCGCCCACGTGAAAACTAGTCGAGGGAGTTCATGCTTTGGAAATCTCTGTCCGAATTCCTGGCGAAAGCGCCCAACTCAACTTGCCAAAGCCTCGATCGATGATTCAAGGAATTCAAGGGCGTGAGAGCCCGTCCTGCATTTTGGGGATCACCAAGCCATCACCCATGGCCACCAGCACGGTACCAAGGACCAAGCCCTGAACCTTTGTGTAGTGCATGACCTGAAGTGGCAAGCCGGTCAGAGTCAGCCAAGCTGCACCACAACCAAGGAGGGGACCAATATGGCATAGGCAGCGATGCCCAAGATTTCACAAGCTGCTGGCAGCACTGCCATCCTGAGAATTATCTAGAAGCGCTCAAAGTGCACTGACTCACTACAGGAGTTGTTGTTGGACAGCTGCCAGACATGCGGTGATAGAAAAAGGAAAGAGCGGCAGAGCAAAGGAGACACGGAGAGCTGGGAAGGGAGAGAGAGGCGATCCGTAAGGCACCTGAATCAAAGGCCAAATCAATACAAACAACGAAGCGAGGGAAAAGGAGAAAGAAAACACAGAAAGCCGAAACATCAAACGGGTAGGAGAGAAAAACAGACGGGGCAAAAAGTCTAGAAGGGAAGCAGGAGAAAGGACAAAGAAGGAGAAGTGGAAGAGAAGGCAAACGACATCAAGAAGCAGAAGAAGAAGAAGGAGAACCAGGACAAGAATAAGAAGAAGACGACGTCGACGAAGGAGACAAAGAGCGGAAGAGAAGGAGGCGGAGATGGCCTACAGCAACCAAACTTGTACATTTGTAACTAGAAACGGGCACCTCCAACATCTTCAATGAAGATCCGGTCTCAAAACGGAGTCTCGTTATCCCTTCTTGTGTTGTACGCTACATGGTTGGCAACAGTCGTCTTTGGGTTGGGAGTGAGGCTGCGAATGGCGACGGGGTGCAATTGGGTGCGACGTGCGAATGGCACATCTTGATATAAAAATGCTCGAGGCTCTCGACCGTAAAAGATGTCTTATCACACGGCATGATCGCAGGAGAAGAAGAAGGAGAATAAGAAGGAGCAGAAGAAAAGGAAATCAATGAAATCAATGAAGGGGAAAAGGAAGTAGAAGGATCATAAGGAGATGCAGAAAGGCAAAGAAGGCAGAGAAACAAGCTCAAATGATGCAAATTTGCGCGCACTCCTCGGCACCAGCCCCATGCATCCCCGGAACCCTCCTCCGAACCAAAACCCTCCTCGGAACCACCCCATGCATCGCCCCGTGCAGCCCCAAAACCCTCCCGAACTGCAGCCTCCTCGCAACCCTCAAAGACTCAAAGCCGCCCCGGACCACCCGGACCCCGTCTGGGCAAACACAAACAGCTTTCAGCTGAAAAAGCAAGAAAGGTGCAACTCAACACTCTTTCTCGCGCAGCCAGGGCGCACAAATATATGTCCTTTGAGGTGGCTAAAGCGAATTTCCAGCCCCGCAATCAGAAGCACAAGGAAGAACGCTAGCCTCGGCCGCAAGTCCAGTTGGATTCTTGCCAAAGCGTGCGCAGACAGCATGCGTAGTCAAAGGCGATGCCAAGGAACGCCTGCAGCTCATCTCGAGCAAAGAACAAGTCGCTTTGAAAGAAGTGCCGGAAAATGAAGCCACTCAGCATGACTCCTGCACAGGCTGCGCCCTGCATGGCCAACACAGGTTTTCCAAAGCAGGGCCTACAGATGCTGGGAGGTGCATGTACACAAAGAGCGCGCGAATCACGCACCTGAGCCCACAAACCCTAAGTTGCAAAGCCAAACACATTCTTGTTCAAGCCCTTCCTGCAGGCCATGGTGGTTGTTTCTGTTCCTGCGCTGAGTGTGATCATGGCGCGGTGCAAGCCGCCCTGCGGCAGCATGATTTATCAGTACGAGGCACCCTGCCAGCAAAATGTATGCAATGCCAAGTGGGACAGGGTAGCTGTAGGTGGCCGTCATGCCGCAGAAACGCGCCTCGGCATTCCAACTTCACAACTTGAGAAGCACCAAAGCAAGGCATTTTGAGTGCTCCAACCAACTTAAGGCTTTGACCTTTGGCCTGTCCACAGCCGGGCCTGGTGGCCTGGCCTGGTAGCCTTGTGGCCTAGCCTTGTGGCCTAGCCTTGTGGCCTGCTTCTGGCCTGCTCCCGGAGCCATTGCGGCGACGGCACGCCCACATGGAAATAAATCCGGTCATGTGCTACCAGAACAAATGGCAAGGAAGTGCTCTTACGAAATGACACGCCGACGAGTATGTGTTCTTTTTTTCCGCTCGGCTACTCGGTGTCGGTCAGCTTAAGCTGACATCGCCATTCGGAACATGAGCCCTTTGTGGAGCCCTTGGCCTTGCTTCCAGCCGAAGCCCCGAAGGGGGGTCTGAACCCACAAAGGCTCTCTCTGCTCTCCCCTCTGGCGCAAGCTGGACGAAAGCCCCCAAGCACCTTGACATTGCTCGAAACAAAGGCAACTTTCGAAGACTCTCCTGGAGAATGCATGTAAACATATCAAACATGCTCTAAGTCCTGAACTCTTGAGGCACTGCAAATATCAAACTCACGGTGGCATGTGTTGACGCGCGCAGCGCGATGGCAGGTGCGATGTGTGGAAATGCCCCAAGGAGTCCGGCAAATTATGCATATCGTAACAGAGAAACAGCCGTAAGCACGGAAAGCATTGCTATTCAGCATTCAACTGTTCAAAAGGAAGTCTCAACGAAACGCAAGCCTGTGGCCAAGGATGCTTACTCCGAAGGTGAGAGCAGATGGAAACTCATTCACGCCGAATCGCCCCTTCTCCGCACCATTGCCTCGGCTTAGCAAGAGCAGTCGACAAGAACAAGCCAAAAAGGCAGGCCAAACATTCACTTCTGAATGTAGGTGAGACGCAGTCCACGCCGCCACCAGCATAAGCACCACCTGAAGCAATTGACTGACCAGAGCCTGACCGTTGCAATCGAACCGAGGCAGGCACAGCGCAAAGTGCCAGGGCAGAGTCCTGTGAAGGCACCTCGCAGCCGCAGCTCAAGGGGCAACAGAGGTAGCTGGGAGGCCCCCACCAAAACCCAGCTAAGCCGGGCGCTCCCAAAAGCACTCCCAGCGCCAGCATGTTTAGCGGCACCCGGTACAGGCTGTATACCAGACCACCTTGGCCCACACTGTGATTTGGCGCCGAATCTTGCCGGTCATGCCAGAAATGTGCCAAGAATCGTATTCGATCTGGCACCATGTCGCTCTTCAAAGAGCTAGTGCATGGGAAATACATGCCCACAGCCACTTCGAAGAGAAGACATGCAGCCTCGTCTCCCACAGGATGCTGCATGGCTTGTGACAAAAAACTTGGGCCACCAAGTACAACAAACAGCAACTCGCAAAGCAAGGCACCAGGGCCGCAAGCGCTGAGTTGGTGTGCGCAGCATAGGCCGCGCCAGAAAGAGATGCTGACGCCATAATCAGAATTGGCATGAGAAGCTTTGCCGGAGACCTCAGCTAACATGTCTTTGTCAGACTCTGAGCCATTTTTCTATCTGTTCTATTCCGTGCACGGCCAAGGCACCAAAGCTCCGACCTTGGCAAATCGATCCCAGCCTCCGAGGCTCGAAAAGACGACCGGAAGGCCCAGGCAAGTACTTGAAGCAAAAGGACCCACCGGCACAGCAAGACCTCAGCAAAGGCGAAGGGCAAAAGGCCCTAAGGGCACAGACCTCACGGAGCCAAATCTCAGGTCTGAACATGAAAAGCGCGAATACCAGCCTGCCAGCAAAGAGCTTACGCAGAACCCGACACAAGTTGCAGCCGAGCCACCCCAAATGCGGAGCGAGGCCAGGCCATCCATGAAGAAGTAGCGGGGACCAGTTGAACACGAATACCTGAGCTGCTCAGACGCGCCTGCACCTGCAACATGCAGCTGACTGCACGCAGCAGGGCACAAAAAGTGCTCCTTCGAATGCAGCGGTGATGGCTCCATAGAGAATCACTGGGTCCGTGATGACCTGCCCCATTGCCGCATCCAACAAAGTGCAGCCTTCAGCGGGGCCACCCTGGGCCTGTGAAACAAACAAAGCGCCCAGCGTGCCTTGCGAATCCCCGCGAAGCCGCGGAGCCATCTCGCCAGATCCGGGCGCACGCCTTGCGAGCGACCGGAGCTCGGGCGGCTCGGGCGGGCTGGGGCTGGGGCAAAGACTCCTGGGCTTCGGGGGGCCCCATCCTTGCGCGCACAACGTGGAGCCCCAGACGTGGACAAAATCAAGAGGACCAGTTGGTACCTGGTTCATCCCAGGTTTCATACTGTGGATGGACGAAATCCATGTTGCACCACCTGAGACCCTGGAATCATGATTCCCATGCAAATGCCAACGCACAATGACTTCCCATGGTTTCAAAGTGGTGCAGGATTTGGTCCATCCACAGTATGAAGGGCATGGAACTTGCATGCCAAGCACCAAAATGCCAATGCAACCACAAGGCGGATTGAGCTTTCCAGGTCCGGCAGGTGTGGCTCTTGTGCAGGCCACGTCCACATGATCAGAAGCGCCCCAATCACGCAGCAAAGCGCGGCCAAGTCGAAGGCTGCCACGGGCCCTCCACAAACCTGGGCTGAACATGGGCTCCTGGACACACGGTCATGTTGACCCCATGTTAATTAAGCAACCGCAGTTTATTCATGTGGCGGTGTCCCTGGTTTTAGTGGGGAACCATCACTTTTGGAGGGAAACAGATCCATTAAAAAAAAAAAACTGGGTCTATTTATCCGGGGTCAACTTGTGACGAGGAGCCAAGCGCAAATCAACACCTTCGAGCCGCAGGTTGCACAGCCTCGTTGTCGCTTTGCAATGTCAATGCACCGACTGTCGGCGCTCACTGACTGCCGTGCGAGCAGCTGTCGTGGAAGAGCGCTTACCGCGAGGCTTCCAATAATGCCCGAGAAAATGGCAACTAACCAGCTCCCTGACCACATGCCTTGGTCAACAGGACGGCCAACAAAACCCTAGCAAAACACCGCATATCAAGATTCAAGCCCGACAATCATGCATTTACCACGCGCTCATTGCACATACTCTACACACAGGCTGACCGCCCAACAGATTTCAGCTGGTCCGCAGCTTGGCGGTGGCCGAAATGACACTTTGAATCGAAGCGGACCTTAAGACAGCCCTTAATTGGAGTGAAACATGGCAAGCGCACCCGCACTGCGACCATCAGCATGGCCAAGATGGCCAAGCACTCGCTCACTCTGCAAAGGTGTTCCCATAGCGCCCATCTGAACGCCAGCACGTACAGGCAATGCAGGTACCTGTAGAGCTCCATTTGCCACTCGTGGGGACACCAAAACCCCAGGCGGCAACACCTGGTAAGGGTTTGGCGAGTTCGGGGTCTGCTGTGGCTGCGGCTGCAGCTGCGGCTGCAGTGGCTGTAGCTGCGGCTGCGGCTGTGGCGCCGGCCTGCCCGACACAGCTTTCAGCGATTCCAGGGCTACAGGTCCCAGGCTCGGAGAGGTTTCTGCGAAAAAGGCTGCCAGGTCGGTGGAAGCTTCGGCCAAGCGCTTGCGCGCTTCGTCAACGGCTTGGCTGCCATCAGGCAACGTCTGAAGGCACGCCGCTGATGCATTCAGCATGCCGCTGCTCAGACGAGACAAAGTGTCGAAGAGGTCAAGCACCAACAGCAGGTTCGCTTTTGACAGATCCAGAATACCCTTGAGTGAGGTAGGAGTTGTGGATTCACTGGTTTGGGCAAGACCGCCTCCAGTGCTCAAGTTGCTTCTTGCTGGAACACCCTGCGAGTGCTGTAGCAGAGCGGAGCTCAACTCGTTCACTTGCTGCCGCAACCTTCGATTTTCCTCCTCCAGCCTGTCGTTGGACCTCTTCAGGTTTTGCACTCCGAACGCACGAGGTGACGTCCCTCCTGGCGGTTGCGTAATTGGCGCTGTGTGGGTGCTGCTCTTGGGGGAACCAGCGGAGACAATGCTTTCACGCAAGCTATCATAGCGCTGCCTTAGCTCGGCAAGCTCGCTCGGGCCTTGCTCTGACCACGGGTGGTTGAACTCATCCAAGTCAAAGTTGTCAGGATCCTCCGAATGCGCTTGCCACACTTCCTGCATGATCTGAAGGCGTGAGCAAAACTTCTCAAAAGTCCAATTGTAAAGAACTTCGACCTCGTCTGCTTCAACGCTGCCGGAAGTCCCTGAGGAGAACTGTTCCAAAAGAATCTCACTTGAGTGGAGAGACTGACGCCTGACACTTCGTGAAGCAGCCCTTGCCTTCACCTGCCGGGGCGACATGATTCGGACCAAGCGTACCGAAAGCTCTGGACAGCAAGAACGGCCATAGCCCAGCGCCAGAATCGGAGCAATGCCACACAGCTGGAACTTCAGGTTCGTTTGCCCACAAGGCTTGACTTCCGCGGTGATCTGATTCGCCTCCTCCACCATCTGCGCCGCCTTGCGGGCCATGAGGAGGAACTCTTGCACGCACGTCGCGCCGTCGCTGTCCAGGTTGTTGCGCTTCAGCTCCGACATGAACTTCAGAGCCATCTGCAGGTGGCCGGGCTCCGCTGCCCTTTGCTTGCCCAGGATGTCCAGGATCAGGGACTCCTGCTGCGAGTGCCTTGCCGCAGGCAGCTTTTCGGACGGCAGATCATGGATGGAGCTCCCGACTTTCAGGAATGTATACATCATGACGGAACGGCCCAGCACGACGCGATCCAAATGATGAAGCTCAACAGCCCCTGGCTCTTGCAGAACCTCCCCATTAATCTCGACAAGAGAGAGGGCGGGAGCACTGGAAGGCTGCCACTCCTCTTCACTGGTGCTACTCAAGCTGGCAGTGCTATGTACGTCATTGGCCTCACCAGTGGCCGGTCGGATAAACAGCCGACCTGCGCCATCTCTGCGGATGTAGCACGTCACAGTCTGGATTCCCAGGCCATGTGGCAGCAGAAAGTCACAGGTCTGGCTGTAGCCCAAGGAATACTCTTGGCCTGCCTCCGCGGGATGAAACACCAGCCTGCCGCGCATGTGGGGGTCATCCGAGTAATTTGCCAAATGCGGCACCTTGCTCTGCTGCTCGCGCTGGGCGGCCCTGACCTGGTTCACGGCCCAGCTCCAGCGCGGAGCCCCCAGCTTCTCAAGCGCGGCGCCTCGCTGGGACATCAAGCGCTTGGCCTCCGTCTGAGCCTCCTGCCAGCCCTTGCGGTACCGCTCCACCAGCGCCTCCGTGGCATCCAACTTGTTCTCCAGCGCGTCCACGTGGACCTTCTCCTGGGCCTCCGCCAGCTGCTCCTTCAGGGCATGCAGCTCCTCCTGCAGCGTCTTCACCAAGGCGTCCTTGTCCACAGCCGACGCCGGCTTGGCCTTGATCTTGATGCTCTTCACGGTGGACGCAAAGGTCAGGGTGCTGTAGCTCTCCTCGAAGTTGGCCATGGCCGGGCTCAGGGTCCCAATCATGGAGGTCTTCGAGTTGCCGCTGAGCGCATTCGAAAGCAGAAGGGTCAGCTTGGAGTTGCGGAACCGCGACATCAAGTTCCCTGAGGCTGGGCTCATCGACTTGCGGGTGTCCGGTTTCGCCAGCGCTTGGATGCAGCTGGCCAGCCACATCAAGCTTTGGTTGATGAAGGTCAGCTCCACAAGTCGGTCACCAGATACCTGAATCATGCAGCCCGAAAAAGTGCGCAAAGCATTTTCTGAGCCGTTGCCGTCGTGCTGCCTTGGTGGTCTTCTCATTCTCACGGCCAGCGAGGTCGACAAAGAACGCCTCCGAGGTAACAATGGTGTTGTCACTTCCTCCACCTCGACATGGCAAACATTCAGTCTGAGTTGGGGATTGATCAATACTCCCTTCGGCCCCCAAATGATCACGGGTGACTTTTCCTGTTCAGTGGGAAGTATGATCTTTTTGGTGGTTTTCCCCAATGGTCATCCCAAAAGCGCCTTTTGATCAACCCGCAGTTGTTTCGGCTCAATGGCTGCTGCCTGTCTGCAAACAAGTCGCGCTTCTCAACCATAAGCTTGAATATGGTGTGTGCTCGAGAGCTTTTGGCGTTCATGGCCGTCGCTGCCACGGTCTTCATTGTGTTCCCATACCTGGGCACTTGCTTCGCCGGACAGATTTCTGAGCGCTATGAGCGCTATGAGCGCTCAGGCTGCCGAGAGAACATGGCACCATGGCACATGGCACATGGTACCAACAGGTTGCCGTCAAAAGGCTCGATGAGCTGAACACAGTTCTCGAAGGACTCCACTGGCTCATCAGCCACACCCTTCACATACCTGCACCGAGCTCAGGGGTAGGCGGGTAGGCCATTCACCGCAAGAAATGCTGACAAGCTACACGCCCAGCTTGGGATGTACATGCACTTCTGGGTGCTGACGTGACTTTCCATCTTTGGTGTCTTTACCTTGGTCGCCGCAAACATCCGACACGCACGGCACGCGTCCGGGCCGGATCGGTGCTCCAGAAAGCCAAGAGACCGCTCATCGGAACCAAAAGGTCCCGAACTTTCTCGTTGTAAACCTGCACGGGGCGGGCGGCTCCAGAATGAGCTGCCACGCGGGAAGCTTCTGCCACGCCTCAAGCATCTGAACTTTGCAGTGCACTTCCGAACCTTCCTCCTGCAGCACGGCCATCCTCAGATCGCATGTTCACAGCCCAACGTGGCACCCGATATAACGCATGCCGGGCGTCTCAGTAAACAAATCGTTCATGAGGCGCAAGAGCAGGCCTTGCTCGGAGACAGGTTCCACCTGAGCAGCGCGCGAGGATACAAGATGTTGCAACCGGGTTACAAACACAAACAGTTAAACATATTTCGATCATGTCTAAACATATTTTCCTGGGATGGGCAATGACCACATTGGGCAGTCTCCATGCATCACAGTCCATTGGTTGAAGCCACGCCTTGCCCATAATGGTGGTGGTTTTGCCGGTGCCAGTCTGACCATAGCAGAATAAGCAGCTAAAATAGCCTCCAAGGACATGGTCTACCATCCTCCTAGCCATGAGGTTGTAACACTTGTCTTGCGACACGTAGTTGGCCGAGTTCGGGTCTGTGCTGTCCATCGCACAATCAAAGGCGAACTCCAGGACTTTGGCTTTTTGAGACTGCTCTGCCACATTCTGGTCCACCAGCACGGCATTGCCAGAAATCGTCAGACACCTCAGTTTTCAGTTTGGAACGGGACGGTTGGCTCACGTACAATCTGCTGTCACGCATAGGGGTGACCCGCTGAGAATCTCGCTGCTCTTGTCCCGACTCATAGCCCACAAATGGTCTCAACCGGACCCCGACGCAAACAGCCTCTTTGTCTGCCATGGCAGCGGCGATTCTTCGGATAGCATGAGGGCGATGGTCAGAACCACGGATTCCGACTCTACATTTGTTGCATAGGGTTGCCGGGTGCAGCTGCGCTGTGACAAAGTCCGCCCAAAAATGTGTCGAATAGACATCTTCAGTGCTCATGTCATATGGCTGGTCACTTCAGCTGGAGCCCAAATGTCCGCATATAGTTTAGCTACACAATCAACAAGTACCCAAACAGCATCAACAAGTGAATCTGCAACTCACGGGACAAGATGCGAGAGAGCAAGCGATTCAGCGCTTGTGGCGGAGCTGGGCATTGCTTGTGCTCCTGGCTTGACTGACACTCAGGTCTGCAATCAACAAATGAAATGGAAACTCGGGTCTCGCAGGTGGTCTCGCAAAGATTCGGACATCGGCAGAAAGATCCCGCCTCGATGGCCCATGCTTCGAATGCCGTGTGGAGCAAGCTATCCTGACTCTCTGCGCCATGTACAGGGCAGTGAGGGCGCAGGTGCCGTCCGACAAATAACGCGGCGCACTTTGTTTGCGCCAAGCATCGGCAATACCACCCAGAAGGCGGCTAAATACCAAGAGTCCAAGGTCAAGACTATGCGTCAGGATGCAGGAGACACAACAAATCGCCTGAGATTGGAATCTCAGCACCTTCTATCGAATACACCATGTTTTGCAAAGCAGTGGTGCGAACCCTTGGATGTGCATTGATTGTCTTACGCATGACTTCGCCATTCAAATAAGCATCGCACACAATACAAGAGGCAGCCGCGTCTTCTTCCGATTTGGTCACAAAGGCGGCCAGCAATGGCGCCCAGCGCTGCAGATGAAACAAAGCCAACCGCAAAAAGCTTCGCTATCATGTAGCTACCTTAGCGCTGAGGCAGTTGTGCCGGCACGTGTTGCCGTCTTGCCCTTGCCAAGTGTCTAAGCCTACGATCAGCATACAGAGTGTACAAATAAGGTCCTGCCGTCGAGACACACTCAACCCCGCCAGAACTCAACTCACAGCTTCCTTGTAGCCAGTCAGCTGCAACGCAGGTAAACCATACCGGCAGGAAGCGTGCCTGCCACACAAATTAATTCGAAGCACGACAGGTGGGGCAGGGTAACCAGCATGTAAGCCCTTAAGACGAGCCTCAACTCGTGGCCGGACTACAGGCACCGTAGCTGGCACAGGTTCAAGGTTCCTTCTGGGTGTTTGGCGCCGAGTAACCAGAGATACCTCGGAACCAGACCGGCAAATCTTACCAACAGCTTTCCGCGGCCACGTGGTGACCGTTCATGGTCAAAAGATTGCGAGCAGGACACACGTTGGCCTCTCGGCACGCCACATCTTGGGCCTCTCCCACAGCTGAATCCTGCGCGCTCAGCAGTTGCGAACCAAGCACTGCTTGGGCCCGAGCCTTCTGCAGGGGGAATCACGAGCCAGACCTGGGCATTGCTCAAGCGTCGTGAATAGTGCCAAATGGAAGACAATGAAGTCAAACCAAACGTCTCAACTGTGCCAACACACAGCGCTGCCCAAGTATCCTCACAAGTTGCACTTTTCTGGAGTGCGCCGTCTAAGGCAAATAGATGTAGACACTCCGGTTCTTCTCATCTCGCTTCAGAAACTCTCTCTCGATCAAATGCTCGATCTGGTTCTTGATTTGTGTGGGCTGCGGCTTGAACAAGGTGCATTGCCTGAACACCTCGTCAAGCAGAGAGTTATGCTCCAGCCGGTTCCTGGATTTCATGATTCTAACAACAGCAGCGTCAATGACATGCTTCCTCTCTACAGGGGCCTCTGCCAGTGCCGTGGTCTCCCCAGCTTTCTCCTCCTTCTTGATGAGGCTCACCGAGACTTTGATCTTCTCACTGGTGAAATTATCATTGACCTGCAGCTTGCTCTCGCTGTTCAGGTCTTTGCCCGTGCAGTCGTGCAGCAGGACTTTGTGCCGCGAAACCGACAACGACATGACCTGTCTTTTGCATTCATCCTCTGGAAGCTTGGTAGCTTCGCAAATTTCCTTCAGCGTCACCTCCTTGCGCTGGTTGAACAACATCAGCGCCAGGCATTGGTACACTGAGATTACGAGGAGATGCTGCCGTGCCAGGCCGTGACATCGAACCTCCACGCTGCCCATGTTGAAGATCCACCTGAGCTTCCGCCCGTTGTGCTTGGCGTGATAGAAGGCCTCGTAGGACTTGATGCAGGCCAACATCTCTGGACAGGGCACCACCGGAGCATCGTCCGCCTTCTCGGGCCAAGCGTTGGTCTGGAGCACCTTCACCTCATGCTGCACTCCCCCAGGGGATCCCTGGTGGGCACTCTTGATGTACTCTTCCTGGAGCTGGTCACTGAGCGCCATGTCCGTAAACATCGAAGCCAGCTTCTGGATGGCTTGTTGCCCACACTCGACCTTGAGCTTCGTGATGAAGCAGTCCTCTGCGTCGTTCGAGACAGACAGCTTGCTCAGCAAGCGCCGCGACAATGCACTCTTGTAGATGTCAAGGAAAATGTCTTTGTCCTTCAAGTGAGCGAAGAGGCCAACAGCCTGATTCACCAAGGTCTGCACCTCGTCTTCATTTCTGCCCTTCAAGCCCTTCTTGAGCTGGAGGTCGCAGTAAAGCGCAAGGTACTTGGCGCATCTCGTGTCCTTGTTCAGGACCGCCTCCAAGCCCTTGTTTCTGCCCTTCTGAAAGCCAGTGTCGCTGTCAAAGCAAGACGTGACCATGTCGTCCACTTCCTTTTTCAGCTCGAGCACCTTCTCAGTGTAGGTCGGAGGGTTGTCAATCATTTGTTGGTCCTCCACTATTCTGGAACACCTCTGCTCGATGTAGGGCTCCATGACCGCGATGATGTACGGCAGCATGGAGGGTTCTCTTCTGAAAATTCTGTACATGAGCTTCAACTCTTCGTGCCGCTGCTGCATGAACATAGCCTGCGCGCCAGTGCTACTCATCTCAACTAGCTCCTTCGCGGTATTCAGAATAAGCTCCCGCTGCACGACCATCTTGAGATCCTTCTCCGACGAGGAGTCAAGGTATCGGCTCAGCCGTCTATCTTCGTCATCCAAGCGGCGCTGGATCTCTTGCAGGAATTGAGGGCATGTGTACATGGCCATCCACCCAGCCACCTTGGATTGGTAGTACTCCTGCGTTGTTGCAAGCAGGAGATTCTCGAAATCTGCCTTGTACAATTGGCGACCCTGTTTCTCTTGTGACTGCCATAGCAGCCGATCTGCCGAATTCTTGTCCGTACCCTCTTTCTGCTTTATCACCTTTGGGCTTGAATCGCCAACCGTGCAAAGCATCTCCACAAGCAATCGGAGCACATCCTGGTCAACTTCAGCCCCATCTCGCTCCCGATTCACCTCCGCCACCATGGCTGCCACGCACCTGTCCTTGACCTTGGAGTACACGGTCTCGGTAAAGCACTGAAGAGCAGCCTTGAACAGGTCTGGGTGCTCTGCATTGCCCTTGGTGAAAAAGCGATCCAGGTACTGAAATACCCTTTGCATCCAAAAGATCAGGATTCTGTTCTTTTCCCAAAGCTGCGCCAAGGCCTTCAACAGCTCCTCACCGGAGAGTTGGGCGAGTTGCGGCATGGCCTCTTGGCAATAGTTAAAGATGACCTCCTTGTAGTAGGAATAAAGCCTGAATGAGTGGTGCGATTGATCGCCAAACTGTACAACCACCGAGTAGGCCTTCATGAAAGTCATGTTGTTCCGATTCTCGAACACGCCGGTCCTCAAATAGGTCAAGAGCGGCTGCACCCGCTCTTCCTCAATGAGTCTCAGGCCCTCCTCGACTGTCATGGTCTCCAAGTTGAGTTCAATGGCGTCGCCTTTGGCGACAGGCCGCGTACCCGACATCGAGCTTCAAGCCCGGAGGCGCTTCCAGCCGTCGAGAACCGAAAGCTGCGGCAAATCAAAGCAAAACGGCAAACTCCGCAAGGTGCTTTGCTCAAATGCAAAAGCTGTGTGTGTGTGTGTTCAAAATATTGAAATATTGAACCACATACAGTTGACAGAAAGGCTGATCCCTCCCCCCACAGACAAGACCTCAAGCAAAGCCTCTTCGGGAGCAGGGCGTGATCAACCAGATAAGGAAGCATGCTTTCTGTCTGCCAACATCCACACAATGCAGCATGATTGGGTTGTTTCTGAGCCCTTCTGAGCATTCGACTCCCAAAGCCACATGCATCGCGGTCTGCAGCTCTGGGCTCGGGAATGGGTACTGCTTTGACCCCAGCGGAGAATTCTCATTCACTTTTGCAGAGATGACCTGACATGTGCATGGCGACTAGTGGCAACAAGCCTCGGCCCGCTCAAAATTCCAACGCCTTTTTTGCGAGCTTGCAAGGTGTCGGGGGTCTTTCGAAGAGCTCCCAACACAGTGAAACCTGGGGTGAGAAAATCAGGCGATGGAGCATTGTCCATGTGGCACTAAAAAATTACGACGCGGTTACAGCTTCAGCCGGGCCAGGTCCCAAAGATGCCACCTGCGCTTTGTCTAATCCCTAATCCACACACACACACACTAAGGTGGGGGGGAGACAAAGGCCTGGTCAACAGGCAGCACACCCACAGATGGGCGAGGATCCTTCCACGGCTTTTGAATCGCCCAAAACGCACGATGCTGAGCTCTCCTCCTTCCGCGGCGCTTCCTGTTGTACGCGCTCTTGCTCTGCCTTGCTGAGCTTCCTTAGGCCATCCAAATGCCGTAGGCTGATCCAAGCAAGCAGCATCCCCGCATGGAGAACTAATTGCTTGTGAAGGCGCTCTCGCCGAACCAACTTGTCCTTAGCACTGGCAGAGCTGGGCCAGCTTCAAATCGGTTGGATTCTAGCTGCAGAAAATTGCCGGCGAGCCGCGTTCAAGTAGCCGACCTTTTCAACATCGCCAGAGGCCAAATGCATCAAGCCTTCTACACGAACTCCGCCACGCCACTCCTCAGACCCACGCATGAAAACGCACATCCCGCCGACGAATTCTGAATGCGGCCATGTCTCTCCAGAAAACTGGCTCCCAGTTGTTTGATATGTACATTTCCTCGGAGGGAAATAAAGGGTCAAGTGGCTTGCAGGCCTCAGTTTGCATGGAAGTCACCCCTGTCCCGAGCGCAAGCCTTCCTGGAACTGTCCAACATAGTCGCTCTGCTCCTGGGCAACAAGCTCGGGGCGAAATCCATCCAGGTTTCGCTGCTTTCCAGTTGAGCCAAAGGTCATCAGCATCATGAAGCCGCCCGGAGCCATCTGGAATGTCTGCCTGTGAATGCGAAGAACAGCACTTGGAGGGCGCCTCTACTTCGCCTTGAAGTCGCCATCATAGCAGCTGCCATTTGGCAGCCTTGTGATCAATTCCAGCAAGCCATGGCAGTCTCATGTCAAACCATACCCCGGCCTGTATGACCCGAATCCGTGTCGAGCATCATTCAACCAAGCTCCGCTGTATTGCGCTCCGTCTCCGAAACTCATTTGGCCCTGGCACGTGAATAAATATATATGTTGACATTTGTTGCATCTGGGACCTCATTGCCCTTATGCTCAAAATATGTCGGGCCCTTGACAAGATGCGGCACTGCGGGTGCAGGTCCCCTTGGGCTACTCCAAATCCCCGCTAGCGCAGCCTCAAACTGCTCAAGTCACAAGCTTAGGAGCCATCCATGGAAAATTGGCAGCTTGGCACTTGCTCAGAACATTATTGCGTTTCTTTTGGAAAGCTATACACTCTTGTGGGCATCCAATCAGGGTAATCATTGGACCTTGCACTGCGGGCAAGGGAATTGTGTGGATTTGGGGTGCAACGCTGCAACAAGCTGCAATAACCAACCAGCGTGTGAGCACGGTGTCTCACGTAGCCCGCACTTACAAAACACCCTTACGGTAAGGCCTGGCTCATGTCATAGCTTGCACATCCCCCCCTTTGAACCCAATAGCTAGGAATTAAGGCCAAATTAAGACCAAATTAATTTTGGGAAATTCACCCTTGTGGACAAATCAAGGCCGAATTAAGGTTTTTGTTTATGCACAAATGACTCAAGCCAATTCAAGCCAACAATGCCAACGTGCTAAATGAAAACGCGATGTCCTGATTGGCTGGTGCGTGCCTACGGTGTATTGAGTTGGAAATCAAGCCAGGCTACTGAATTAGGCCAAATTAAGGCCAAACTAGCGCAAATTATCGGATTTGGGTGCAAGCGAAACTAAGGCCGCCAAATTAATGCCAAATTAATGCCAAATTAAGCCCAAATGGGCACAAATGCCTGTAAGATTTGGGCTCAAGCAAAATTAAGGCCAAATTAAGGCCAAATTAAGGCCAAATTAGCGCAAATGCCTATGGGATTTGGCTTCAAATCCTGCAAAACAAGGACAAAATTCACCCAAACCAAAATGCAGCAAACATATAGTACGAAATAAGGCAAGAGTGAGGCAAGCGCGAGGGATTTTTTGTAGGAACAGAAACTGAAAGCCAAACTGAAGCAACATGAAATCCAATCGGCGGGCAGGTTGGCTACCGAGCGCCGATGGCTTCAGGCATGTTGCTTGAAAAATTAGCCCCTAATAAGCCCTAATCAGCCCATATTTCTTTTGGGGGGGGTTCAAGGGCGGGTTGGAAACTATGATCATGGCTGAAACATGGCTGTCTTCTGTATGGGTGGGTGCGCTGGCACGTGTCTGCATGTGTGTACATCTACAGTACACAAGTGCACGTACTAGATATGCCAATACAATGCAGTACAGTGCAGTCCAGTCCAATACAACAAAACACTAATACAAAACAACAATGCAATACACAACACTACACTATACACTATACACTACACACTGCACACTACACTACCATACACTACAGTACTGCACACAAAACTGCAAAACTGCAAAACAATAAAATCCAATGCAAAACCATACCATACCATGATTTGCCCCACACGACGCACATTCGCACGCGGCAAAGGAAAGAAAGCTGAGCTCCGCCTGGCCATGCCGCCTGTCAGCCGCCCAGTTGCCGTTGTATGCCTGGTTTCCAGAGCAGAACGGCAGGCGAAACATCGCTGGAGCGCCGCAAGAGGGCATTGCACTGAAACAGCATCCGGGTCATGTTTTGTGCATCACTGGCATGCATCTGGTTCTTGTGGCTGTGGCATGGACACAACCAGAAAGCACGAGCATGGTTTGCCAACTGTGCACTCTTGCATGCACCGCCAAGTGCCATAATAAATGTACAGCAAATTATCGCGATCCAAGCAACAGATCCGTCCGCATACTTCATCAGGCCCTGAGCGGTCACAACAGTGAAGCACGTGCCGGGAACATGAAGCCTCATGGATGTCAAAACTTCCTGCTCAGTCATAGCCTGCAAAGCCCGAGCCACAAATCCTTTTCATCACTACGCCCATGGGTTCAGCCAAGCTTTCGTCGAGCCTGCCTGCCCGTGTCTCAAGTCAGCTTCCCAGCGGCCCTCGTATGCAGCGCCATCATGATACCTTACCAGATGTCTGGAACAGAAATCCCGAACACTAGGATTGCGGTGCTTAACTGATGGGCTGTCTAGCTGCCATCGAGGCGCGTGAATTTACCGTAGCCATGTCTCATGCTATTCAACCACTGGCCTGTGTAGGATTCCTGCTTTGCATAGTAGAACCTCAGCGGCAAACGATCATGCAAGCAGCGAGGTGGCAATGAATTGCAACCAAACAAGCAGCGCTTCCCATCTGCAATCAAGCAAGTGGCGTTCCCTCTCCTTGCATCTTGCCTTCGCAAAACTCTCCCTCGTAATAGCCATCCACACAATAATACGTTCCAGACCTTCAATGCAACTCTCGTCATGCAAAGTACACTGAGGCATGTGGCACACGCAGTCCAAGTCCAGTGCCCATGCCGAGCTCCTCTTTTGAATTGGCCTTCCTGAGCTGCTAACTCATGCTTTCCCATCTTTTGCTCTGTGGCACCAGCTGAACAAGCTGCTGCTTCCAAAGGCCTCGCAATGATGGGGCAAAAGGCTAGCATCTGCAAGCGAGCGGCATAGGAATCACCATTTGGGTATTCCTGCAATCACATGAGGTTGCAGCGCTGGAATTGCATGCACTACGCCAGACGCAGCACAGAGTCCTCTCTGCTGAAGCCATTCAGAAGCGCCATGGCCACCCCGACTAACCCCTCCCACTTGCACTCAGGCCATCCAAGGCTTCATCAGCACACATATGCAATAGGGCTCAGGTCAAAAAGACGATAACAAAAGCAATGATGATGATGATGATGATGATGATGATGATGATGATGATGATGATGATGATGATGATGCCATGGTGCTCCAATAATTTTGCCAACAAGCTCGCAGGGCCTGGGTTTTGCCAACATCCTTCTTTGCTTTGGCCTCTGTACTGCACTCGCAGTCCACTCACGCCCGCGCCTTGAAGGCACTACAGAAAGCCCACGGCCCTCGAGGATTGTATCCTCCAAAGGGGGTGAAACACTGTCGTCAAACACTTGCTCAGGCTTCAAACGTGTGAAGCTGGATGGTGCAGCTCCAAGATCTGGCACTGTAGGGGTGCGACTGCCTTGCCTGCGTTTTGCGCCTCGCACTGCAGCGAGCGCCTATGCTCTTTGCACAGCTTGAAAGTCCAAGTGCATCTTTGGCACAAGCCGCCGTCACGTGGGGAGCGAGTGATCGTGCGTATGGAAGTTCAAAAATCCTACCTGCCCCTCCCAAGCGCTGCATTTCAAATGCCTCAGCCTCGTTGCACCACGAGCATGTCCAGGATGAGCTCAGGAAGGCTTCCTTCTCGCCCGAAGTGCCCGCGGACCCTCAGCTCAACGTTTACCGGGCGAATCACACCTCTGAAGCTTCAAGGGCCACAAACAAAGTTGTGCAACATGCATGTGCATCGACTCTTCCTGGTGTTCATGTGTGCATCTGGAAAGCATCACACAGCTGGATATTTGCACTTACCTGATTCTCTCTCTCTCTCTCTTTCTCTCGGATTGCTGGGCGCAGATTGGCTGAGGATTGCAAATCAGACAGCGCATCAACTGTGGCCCACTGAAACGTTTGCCCCTGCCCGTATCAACTCTACCGTGTCTGTCAGCCTGTCTCCCGTTGGTCTTGGTCCATATAGGATCCCGTCAGCCTGGAGGCCGAGTATGCAAATGACTGACATACTTCACGTGATTCGACGGTTTCAGTCACCTTGACCTACAGCCTCAAGGGTGCTCAAAGTGAGTCTCACCGAGCACCTTGGAAACAGCAACCAAAAGCAAAAACACAAGCCACCACGCAAGAATGTTGTCACATCGTCCCTACCAGAGGGACAGAATTGAACTCTTACATCCAATCCAAATCAGAGCTCTGGCTCGCCTCGATTTGCAGTCAAGGCTACAAACCTGAGATCTAGCACGACAGCCTGGACATACACAGCTCTATCAAAGTAGACGTTGGCCATCCAGGGTGTTTTCTTGTCTTTGGGACTGCGCGCATCCTCCGAGAGCGACACGAAGAAGGCATAGAGTCCGACGATCCGAATGCTGGGTGGCTCAGCCCAATACCCAATAACCACTCCGTTGAACTGCAAAGCCAACACTTTGGTATCCAGTGATGACCTCCTCACTACGCATCTCCCGCCCGGACTGCAAAGCCTGCTCCCTGCACAAGGCTGCACACCTCTCCCCAAGCTGGAGAACAATTTGATCCTTGAGGTCTGAGCAGGAAGACTCAGCAAGATCCATCTTGAAAAAAATCCAGCCATCCTCTGACAGAAGAAAGTACCGCGGTCATCTAGCCCAGCTAATGCCAGTGCAAGCTGGGCACATTCTTGAGCGTACCAGCTTTTGCCTGCTTTGCCATCTCAGGCTCGCCAAGCTTCGTAGTTCCCACTGCGATCACCAAGCTTGGGAACTATCCCATGGCGTGCAATGGGCTCGCCTCATGCGCCCCCCGGCCTTTCTTTCCCGCGCCTGCCGGTGTCAGAAGAGCTTCTTCTGCGGCTCTCATGGCTTCTTCCCGGCTGCTGTAGCCAAATCTCCTGCCTGGGGAGAACGATAGGTTCGGACCAGGGGATCAAAGGTTGGGCGGAATGGCACAGCAGCTCTGAGACTCCAACAGCTTTCCGAGACAAACCCCCATGGCCGGTGACGAGATCCTCTATGTGTGCGGGTGATAGTAACCTGCAAGCAAGCTGCAATCTGGCCAAGGCTGAGGCTGAGGCAGGAATAATGGCGAGGCAAAGCTGATGAGAGTCTGAGCCGTCCCGAAAGTGTCCAATGTGTACCGGGTGGCCATAGCACCATCCACAGCGAGCATCCTTGGCGCCTGTACAAACCCAATGACCGAATCAGGCTCAGCAGGTGCCCGTGATTCCTGGCGAGCTGAGCGGGCGCGCTTGGAAGAACACTCCTAACTCCAACAAAACTTGGCCAATCTCCAACATTTTGGCGAATGACTCCGACGCTTGGTGAAGTCTGACTCCGCTCTGCCAAGGCTTGGCCATGTGATAACTGCCACTATGGCTAGCATCTGGCGATTGCCATGGTGCCAATGAATCTTTGCGCACGCCACAACCATCCAAACGCACTGCTCGCAGCTGGGGGACTGCCCCTTCAGTGTCGCGTGACTCCTCTCGCCCATACGGCCTCAGCTGAGCAAGGAGGCTCAACCTACGAAGCTAGCCTTGCTTCGGAAATCATGGTTCAGAAAGTATGTCTCAAAAACTGGACATGCTGCGGAAATTGTGGTTCATGAACGCTTTGTTTTGAACACTACTTTGATTTCTGGAGCTTTCGGAAACTGGCCTTGCTTTGGAGATCTTGTACGATTGAGAGCAGAGAGCTTCTATTTCTGTTGTACATGCCGGACGCAGCTAGCTCACCGCATAGGTTTCAGCTGGGATCAAAGCACCTCTGTAACTTTTTTGTCTCTCTTGGTTCCACCTTTTTCCTTCTATGCATGTCTGGCGTTCGGCTGGCCGCTGAACGGGATGTCTGATGCAAGGCCGTTTTCTGTTTCTGAAACGTAGTTTCTGAAGCTGGGACAGGTGTTGAAAGATAGGTTCTGAAACGGAAGCTGTTCGTGGCGCGGCCGCACGCTGGCAACTCAGCCATGCCGCGTCGGGGGCGGCGAAGGGGCAGGCGATGGCAGAGGCGATGGCGCGGGGGATGGCAAGGGAGACTCTGCTCGCGCCTCGAGAATGCGCCAGTTGGACACTTCGAAAAGCAAAGCTGAGACTGTTCCGGGCACCTGTGAGAAGCGCCAAACTGACGCGAAGCGCGGCGCGCAGGAGATCCACTTGATTCCTTGGAAGCAGGATCCAAAGATCGGCAATCCTTTTCAATTGTAAGGCAGGCACTTGCCGTTCCGGCCCGTTCCTGGGCTGCCACGTTCAGCACGTGTGAGGGATGCAACGTTGCCAGCCTGCACGTTCTGAACCACCTGGGCCTGCTCCTTGTCCTCCTGCCCCCTGCAGGTTCACATTGATTCAGCCACGCGCCGATGATACCAACGCGCACAAAGCTGTTTTGCAGAACTGCCAACCTCTTAGCAGAGCCAAGTGGCAGTGTCTGCGAATCGGTTTGTGAGTCGCCGAGGCTCGTCAAGGGTGGGGCAGCGTCCGACTCTAGCGCCAAACGCTTCTCGCCCTTGTCCACGCGAGAGCGCTTTCCCGCAGGACCCGCAGGACCCGCAGGAGCTGCAGGAATTGCAGGCCCTGGACCTGCAGGCCCTGGAAGAGGAAGAGGAGCACGTCCAAACGGAGCTGCCGCAGTTCGCCCACCGACAACAGATAGAACTTGCTGGGCTTCAGCAGATGCGGCCTTAGCCATGCAATTGAACCGCGTTTAACTCACAATGCCATGGCAGGCATCCAAGGCACATCTGCATGCAGCCATGACAAAACCTTGGCTTGCAATCCCTCGGAAATCACGGCAAATGCTTCCAGCACACTGGACTCTAGTAACTGGACAGCCTGCGCATACCTGCTCCAAACAAAATCGCATCATGGCGAGTGGCATTGCCCCAGCCAGGTGCGCTTGCGGAGTGCACAGGGCTTCCATGGCTGCTTCCCCCTGGGATTGCGCGAAGCCGCTCGCATGTGGGCCACACGGGCCATGCGGCCGAGAGCCGACACGAACGCTTGCGTCTTGGGTCCTAGCCTTCGGCTGGAATCTTTGCAGCGCTTGACGTGGCTGGCGCTTCCGGAAAGGCGGCAAAGAAGCTGGGGCCGAGTGGCATGTCATTACCTCAGCCAAGCAGCATGTTGAGAACTGCATCTGATCCCTCAGTGCGTTGACTGGATGCAGAGCCAACCGATTGACAGGTTGCCCTTCTCTTCGCTCTCAGACTCCGGGGCTTCCTGCACAAGCTCTTGCTGGCATTGTGCATGCCTCAACCTGGAAGCCGTTCCTCGCTCTTCTCTGCCTGATCACTCTCATCCAGAGAAGTGGCCCACATAGCTGTGAGCCATGGGTGCTCAATGACATCGTCCAGGCCTCAACGAAGCATCCGTTGTTTGTGTTTCAAGCCAATAGCGTGCTGGCTGCAGGAATCTGAGCAGTGACAGCTCCCAGCCACAAGGTCGGAATCAGTCTGAGTGTTGGGCTGAGCCTTTGCTCAGGCTCGTGTTTCAGAAGTCCCAGCAGCAGATCACGCGCCTCACAGCGGATGCCTCTAAAATAACACCCCCAAACAGGCTACCTACGAGCCTCTGGGCTGATGCGCTGCCACGCCTTCGAGTTGCCCGCTTCAGCCATGCATTGCATCAAGTACTCGCAAGCCCATTTCTCAGGGCAGCACCGCCCCTCGCAAAGAGAGATCGGTCACCTCTTCACCTGCCACGGAATAGCTCATTTGGGCATGTGAGAGCATCAAACTTTGGAAGGATCACCTTCTTGTGGATGAGAGCCCGCCAGCATGACATACCTTGCCAATGCCCCGCCGCCATGATCTAAAGGCAGGACGGCAATGAAATCACTGGGAACTCTGGAAGACAAATCAAGATTGATCCCAGCTGCAAAGTCACGCCAAGCGCATACACGTCCACCTGCAAAGCCAATGCTGCCAAACGCGAATGACGCTGCAAGCTTCCAGCCTTCGCGGCGTCGTAGTTTTCTTGCCCAGGCGCAGCATGACGCGTCTCAGGAGCCCTGCAAAAACTGGGGAGGTGGCAGCGCGAGCGCAGCACACCCCTTGTCATCCACAGCAAGTAGTGATTGCCCATTGAGGCCACAATGCTAACACGGGGGCGGCAGCGGTCGCGGCAGCAGCAGCGGCAAAGGCTGCAAAGGCAACAAAAACAAACAAAGCAGATGCAGCAGCAAAGACAGAGGCAAAGGCAGCAAACAAATGTCCTGTAGTATTTTGTTCCGAGAAATGGTGTTGAAGTCCCAGATGAGCATCCGCTGATGTCCTCTCAATGAAGGTATTCACTTGCTCAAGGGCAGGACCTGCGCAACATATGTGAGCACTGTCCTTGCTGAGGCCAAAGTCCACCAACTTCACAACATCCGGCTGTCCAGGTCGCAAGGGACTCGCCAAAAGGATGTTGTGCGGCTTGAAATCCTGCGGTGCCAATCTCAAAGCGGCCCCAACCAGGCAGGCAACCAACCAAGCAACCAAGCAGGAACCCACATGTGTTTTAAGTGCCCCCCTGAACCCCCCCCCCCTCGGGTCCCTGTGCACAACCTCCAGCGCGTGGCTGTGGCGCAGGGCTTCGGCCATTTGCGCAAACAGCCCCCGCGCTTCCATTTCAGACAGCCGGCCCCGACCTTTCAGCCCTTAGCTTTGGAGAATTTCGGAGACTCGAGGCACGCATCCCACAACTCGACTCGAGGGCCCGGCGGCGCCCAAGGTCCGTGCCGTTCACATGCTCCATGACAATGTAAAACTTCCGGCGGAATGCGTAAGCATCGAGCACCTGGCGGCCAGAACATCCTGAAAAAAAAGAAGAAGGTGGTATGCGAGATGTTGGCAGCCTTGACCACCCCTGGATGCCCACGAAGTTTGAGCAAGTTGCGCACCTGCGCTCAGAGCGATCTGCATCACTCGCGGCTTTGCACGCTCTTCCCCGCCTCAAACTCAAGTCGTGCCACCCATCGGACCAGCCGCTCCTGATCTGCGCCCACTTTGGAGGACCTGAACCAAGAGAGTCATTGAGCAAGCTTGGAGTTGGGATGGCAGAACCCGGCAACCCAAGCGTTCAAACCATGCATGCCGGTGCCAAGTTCCGGACAGCAGCTGCAAATCAACCTCCTTGACTGCATAGGACTCTGTTGCCCGTCCATCGGAGTCCAGCTTCTCGTACCTATATTGTTGGCTTGCGTCCAAAAGACTCAAAGTGAAGTGCAACATGTCGCCATGCCTGTACACATCAGCAAAGCCCCCACTGCCAAGCAGTTCTTTTTGGCGGAAACGTTCTTGGTCTGGAACCTCAATCAATCGGAAATTTCCGCGAAAGCATTCGCATAAGTAAAAGAATACCAAGCAGGCGGAATGAAACCTGCTGCAACCACTGGCAAGGCAATCGCAAGCTGTACTCATACGCTGCAAAGACCCTGCAAGCAAAAGAATCGAAGCGAAACCGTGCAAAGCGCAAAAAGACATGCGCAGCAAGGCAAGGGCAAGCGTTCCGAGGGAAAACCACTCGCATGCGGCCGCATGCCTTCAGTCAAGAGGCAAAGATCCCAGGTTCCTCTACGGGCTCACGAGCACAAGCCTGGGCCTGCCCGACGTCAGATCAAAGCTACGCGAATGGGTGGGTGGCAAGAACAGCCTTGTCCATGCATGGTCAACACCTTTTTTTCGTGGAGTGACCCGGTCAAGGCGTTGGAAGCATCGTGCAGTCTGCAATCAATTATTTTGCTTGTAGACAGCAGGTAGGCTTCAAAATATCTGAGTCAGACCAGCTACTTTGCGGATTGGCTGCTTTGCAGCTGCTGAGCCGATTTGTGAAACAAGTTCTCAAAAGAACTTTGTAGCTCAGCCTTGGGGCTGGGGCTCAGTTCTCTAGTTTCTCCTCCTCTTCTGTCCAATGGTCGTCTTCTGCACCACTCGCATCCACATCGAACGCAAAGATTTTGTCTTCACCATCCTCAACCCGCAATTGAATCTCCCGCCTGAAACGCTGCACCTCATTGATGTTTAAAAAGACCATGTAGTCGTGAGGCACAAACATCGCAAAGCCTTTCATCGTGACAGGTTGGAGGCTGTAAGTCTTTCCAGCGTACTCCACTTGAAGCGAAGAAACCGAATCACCTTTGAAGGTCATAGACTCTCCCTCACTCGTAGTCCAAACACCTCGCCAGTGCAAGGCCTTCTCGGTCTTCTCCCACTCCCGCATGTTGATAAAGAGCCCTCCAGTCTTGTTCAAGCGGTACTTCTTGTCATAGATCCCCTCTTCTGGCGACGACTGCGCCGGGCCCACATACCAATTGAAGTCGTTGATCCCCGCGCAGTAGCCCAGGGGAGTGCCGTCGGCCTTCTTGTAGAGAACTGCAGTGCCAGGGCCGCAGGGTTTCTTCATGTTCAGCTCGCACTTGTACTTGGAACGACAGTAGTGGATTGGCCCATAGGCCTCAGATTCCAAGAAGGGCCCCCCGTCCCTCTTCATCAGCACCGACTTGTCTGTGCCATTGGAATACTCTCCCAGCATGGCGTCCCAATCCTCGGCGCCATCATCATCTGCAGCTCGCAGGGGGGTGATGCGATTGAAGAGGAAGCTGGTGAAATTTGCCACAAAGTCTTGACGAGACAAGAAGAAATTGCCTTGATCTTCCGCTTTGAAACCCACTGCCTCTGCCACCTCGGGATGTTCCTTCCACTTGTCAGACTTGTCTGACCAGTCACCCGTCCATTCTGCATGGCCCCACGGATTTTGCAGCTTCACCAGCGAGATGTCTCCCACGGTATGCATGCCACAAATGCCGTAGGCGTGGTGGGCAATGAGGCCATCTCCCCTCTTCGGAGCTGTGGGGCAACAGGTCACCACGGTGAGAGGCTCATTGATCAGGAACTCAATGAAATCAGCAAACTTCACATCCTTGGACTCAGGCGTATTCACTGACAAGGTGTGGCCACCGAACAACAAACAGACCATGTCCATGCCACTCCTGATCTCCAGGCCGGCGTCATAGCGGTTGCCGTGGCCCTTCATCATCTCGTAGTTGGTGTCGGAAAGCTTCGCGGTCATCTTCTCTAACAAGCTGATCCAAATGGTGCCATGGGCTGGATGGGCACCCATGGAACTGCCCGGAGTTCCCGGGACGATGTCATCAGTGACCATGTAGCCAACCCGGCCTTTGTAGTTCACCTTGAAGGTGTAGAGACCATTGGGGCTGATCTCACCGGAAAGAACATTGGCAAAGATCTCCTTGAGCTTCTCTGGGTACATGGCCATGACAGCATATGAAGCCATGAACTCGCAGTCTGGCATCGAGACCTGTTTCACATGGTGGAAGGCTGGACCCTCTTCGGGCCAAATGCATTTGGCCCCGGGATCCTCCGCCAAGCGATACGCAGAGTGCGGCTTGGGCAACAGCTCAGTAAACTCGGGATCCACAAACTTCTGGTCTCCCAGCCCGGCACTGATCTTCTCAGTGGGGTCCTCTGCGAAGAGGAAGTTGTAGGGTCCGAAGCGCTCACCCAATGTGGGCCAAAGCTCCTTCAGGACTCCGGGCACCTCGGGCATATTTGCGCAGGGATGGACATAGCTGGCCTTCTTCACGGCCTGCTTCAGAGCTCGGCGCTCCTTGGGCTCCAAGGTGGCGGCGCAGTCCCTGAGCTGCTCCACGGTGGAGCTGGCTACGCATTCGTTGAGCTTCGAGGCTCCGCTTCCCATGGCAACCGATCTAGAGGATTGTCAAGAGCACTTGAGCCAGGATTGCGACTGACAAGTAGCGTCCAGTCCATTGCACGTGGAAAAATATCGGATCGTGGATCAAGGAACTAATCAGAGACAGCTCTGCCTTGGGGTGCACGCTGCCAATTCCGCTGCCGCTGTCACTGCCGTTTGCCTAGACACATGTGGCTCACCCTTTGCGTCCGCATCGCCGCTTGCCAAATCGACCACGACGTCTAATGCAGCCAGGCTACGCCGACAGGACGGCCAAGCATCACCTGCATGTTGAATGGAAGCTGGAGCCAGCAACCTATACCACGATTAGCCAGGCGACAACATCATCGTGGCGCGCATTCAAATATCCTTAGCACCCAACAAGCTCAGACTTTGTTGAGAAACAACTTGCCAAGGCTGTGACCCAAGCCGAGGACGTGAATGACAGACCGCATTCCTGGCTCACTTGGGCAATCGGCTCATGAGCTATGGCATGCCAAAGCCTTGGCGGGCATCATCCTCTGATGGCTCAGTTCTGACGACCAGGTACCGGCGTCCCAAAAGCTCGACCTTCAGCGTGAGATACTTCCCGATGGCGGCTGGATCGGCAAAACGCGATTCCTCTTCATGTCCTGCCTGCTATTTTCCAACTGTTTGACCTATGGTGTAAGGACGATCGTACTATCCTTTGGGGAGCCAGCATTTCTGATCAATTGCCCAAAATGCTCCTTCTCATCCAACCGGCTGTGGAAGTGCAGAGTCACATCCTGGCAACGCTCTCGCGTCTACTTGGCAGCACAAGGCCGGGCCAAGTTGGCAACGCCTTTCCAGCTTCAGAGTCCTCCAGGTCGGGCTGTCCGTGGGACTCGCTGGATGCCACTTCTGCCTGGCGCAGCACAGCTGTGTTCCTTCGAGTCGTGCCGACGCCTCGCTGCAGCCGCTCTCAGATAGCCTTGGCAGCGTTCGAGGGCTCCCCAACCGCCCTGCCCGAGCGCATGGCGCAAGCTAGGTGCGGGGTGGGGTGGGGAGGGTGGGGTGGGTTTGGGGCTGACCTTCCTGCCAAGCTGCGTTCTCCCGTCGCCAGACACTATGCAAAATTCATTTGCGTCCTGAAATTGTACCGAGAACGCCAAAGCGCTCTCACAGCTCCAGCTGCAATCAAGCAGCTGAATTCATCTCTGGCGAGCCCGCAAAAGAGTCAATCGTGTCCGATCGGTGCGCAGACGCCTGCACGCTTGCGCGAGCCATTTCGAACCCAGAACAAGTTTCGATAGCAAGCCTCCTCAGATTTGGGAGTTGCCTCAGCTGCAGGGAACACGCAACTGCGACAGCGCGCCAGCCCTTTGCGGCTAACATTGAGCCTTCATGCTGCCGAGTTGCGTCCGGGGATGCCAGTTGGATTTCCCCTGCCCTGGGGGTACATCTGCCTGACTGTCCTGAAGTCATCCCGCCATCCTACAGCCAGAAAGGCACGAGGGAAGGCAGGTTTTCTCGGCACCGGCAGGAAGGCTCCGCCTGGTCTGTCAACAACTCAGAATCGGAGGCAGGCTGCAAATCTCCAGGCATGCCAGGCCAAAGTCACTGCGACCTTGGATCTGGACTGCATGTATTCCCATGACCGGACTATGGCAAGAATCCCGCTTCTGCTGCTGCTGCTGTCGTTGCTGAATAGCCATTGCTCAGGAAGCTCCCACAACGTGGCCTACAAAATTTCGAACCTTCGAAACACGCATCTCATCTCACAGTATCTTCATGTCTGGATGTGCTGCTGATTGTCAGCCAGGCGCAGGCAATGGGTGTTTGCAGGTGCCCTGCTTCGGCATGCAAAGGGTTCCCTGCTGCTCTTCTTTCACTCTGCGAGGACTTCTGAGCCGTCAAGAAAACAACTCAAGCAACATGAACTTGCATAGACCAGTTGGCACATGACTCCAAGAAGCAAGTACATCGGCGCGTTGAACGCAACTGTTTGCGAAAACTCGTTGATTAGAACCGTTTGCCTGTTGGCACCGAAATACCGCAAATGCTGCATTGGGGGGGGGGGCACAAGGTAAGAGTCTCAAGCATGTTGATCCAGCTTCAGTAAAACAACAGAAATGCTCAAAGAGGCAGGCCATGCTTGACCCCATACAAAGACGCCGAAAGCATCACACTCCCAAAAGCGCTGGGGCAGATGTCTGCAACTGAAGCAAGCACTGCGAATGCCAAGCCGCGCCATGCTCACTCAAGCAGGGGTGGCAAAGGCGGGAAAATGCGCTGCGGTGACACGACCAAATTACCAGGCCCTGCTAGGCCATTGCATCTAATTCTCTGGTCCACTTCTCCATCTCTTCTTTGGGCCTCAGTTAGGCGCCTCATCCCTGCCCACGCTGCCAATGAGAGAACCAAGGAAAGAATAAGCATCCAAGCAGCTTCTCCAACATCGCTTCGTTGATGCAGAAGAGCTCTACACTTCCTTTCGTCGCCTCGCCTGTTGCAACAGGTCGAGTGTCTGACAACCTGCCAGCCTCCCTGCAATCAGAGCATTCTGCATTCAGGCGGCGGATGGACTCAAAGCCAGAAACAACACCTCAAGTGCTTGCCAGCCATCCCCCCCCCCGGCCCCCCTAGCACATTCGGTCAAATGGCCAGTTTTACCCAGCAAGCTGTCCAAAACAGATTCAGCTGGTTGGCGGCGCTTGGCCTAGGAAGGCAGTGTGAAGGTCAGCAAAAGTGTATACTGGCTAACTTTCAGAGAGAAACGCACTCGTCCACAACTCTCTCGCGCACTTCATCCGGCATATCAAGACGAATGTTCGACCTTGGCGCTGATATTGTCGAGAAACTCGCCCTGGCAGCTTGCAGCATTTTGCCAATTGAGCCATGCTGCGTTTTCTCCACATTCTCGAGCCAGAGCTGCGTGTCTGCCCGCACAAGCGATGCTGAGCACAGCAACTCCTCCAAAGCAC